ACATATCCAAAATCTGGAGGTGGCAAAAAATAATGATAGAAAAATCATCGACAAAGTCCGATGACACGAATGCGCGTAATATGATCTTATATAATTACGTTCAGAATTTCAAGTCATTGCTAAACAAAGGCCTGTAAATAAAAAACTACACGGTAGATTGTTTTAAATATATCCAAAATCTAGAGAGGAACAAAAATTATTAATACACTTCACTTTTACTAAATTGTCTAAAAGTAGTAAACCTCTGTTTGGTTGTTAGTACCAAATTAATTATGCAGTGATGTCACAGTGCTGGCTATTTTGAAAATTTGTTCGAAGTTGCTCATCGCTTTTAATTTTTTCAAAATTTAGTGAATCTAGTGAAGTAAAATGACTTGTTTTTGGAGTAGTCGACCAAATATTGCTTTAATCCTGACCTTTTACGTCACGGTATAATTAGACATGTGCATTATTTATATTGTATTTTTACAAACTTACTAAGATAATTTACTTTACTTTTATTTGTCTTATTAAGAAGTAGGCGGGCAAAAAGTTAATCATATATATTAATGTATATGACTTCAAAATAAATAAAACTTTAAATACTGTTGTCACCCAAATACGCACATGTCGTTTGATTTACAAGTTAGACGCCTTTGTTTATAATAGAACCGACCGCTACCACTTACATATTAAGTGTCACCTAAATTTGTCGATGATTTTTACAAATTGTTTTTGTGCCACCTCCAGATTTTGATATACTGGACAATAAGAATATTCACATTATGGCTAAGTTTGAAAAAAATTCTACGGTGTAGTTTTTCTTTATAAGGCTTTGTTTGTTAAAGAACCGGAATTTTAACTTAAATATGGAAGATTATATTACGCGCATTCTGGCCATCCTGACTTGGTTGATGATTTTTCTATCATTTATTTTTGTGCCACCTCCAGATTTTGGATATGTTATAGACAATAAAAATATCTACATTATGGCCAAGTTTAAAAATTCTACCGTGTAGTTTTTAGCTATAGAGCTGTTTGTCGAATGTGGTGCCAACTTCACAGTTAATTAGAGTACATTCTCAAGGAATATTATTTTCTTTTATTTTGTTACCTCCAGATTTTGAATATGTTATAGACAATAAGAATATATACATTATGGCCAAGTTTAAAAAATTCTACCGTGTAGTTTTTAGCTATAGAGCTGTTTGTCGAATGGTGCCAACTTCACAGTTAATACCAGAGTACATTCTCAAGGAATATTATTTCTTTTATTTTTTTGTGCCACCTCCAGATTTTGGATATGTTATAGACAATAAGAATATCTACAATATGGCAAAGTTTAAAAAAATTCTACCGTGTAGTTTTTTATTTATAAGGCTTTGTTTATTAAAGAACCGGAATTCTTAACTTAAATATGCAAGATTATATTACGCGCATTTGTGTCATCCGATTTTGTCGATGATTTTCTACGATTTATTTTTGTGCCACCTCTAGATTTTGGATATGTTATAGACAATAAGAATATCTACAATATTGCCAAGTTTAAAAAAATTCTACCGTGTAGTTTTTTATTTACAAGCCTTTGTTTAGCAATGACTTGAAATTTCAACCAAATTATATAAGATTATATTACGCGAATTCGTGTCATCTAACTATGTCGATGATTTTCTATTATTTATTTTTTGTGCCACCTCCAGATTTTGATATGTTATAGACAATAAGAATATCTACAATATTGCCAAGTTTAAAAAATTCTACCGTGTAGTTTTTTATTTACAGGCCTTTGTTTTGCAATGACTTGAAATTCTCAACCTAATTATATAAGATTATATTACGCGCATTCGTGTCATCCGACTTTGTTGATAATTTTCTACAACTTATTTTTTTGTGCCACCTCCAGATTTTGATATATATGGCCAAGTTTGAAAAATTCTACGGTGTAGTTTTTCTTTATAAGGCTTTGTTTGTTAAAGAACCGGAATTTAACTTAAATATGCAAGATTATATTACGCGCATTCGTGTCATCTAACTATGTCGATGATTTTCTATAACTTATTTTTTTGTGCCACCTCCAGATTTTGGATATATTTTAGACAATATAATTATCTATATTCTGGCCGTGTAGTTTTTAAATTATAGGCTAATTAAGAGAAATGGAAAGTACACTGTAATATAAATCTTAGTGTTTTCTTCAATTTCTTGACTTTTATACATTTATTGTGATGGTTAAGGACTGTAAAATAGTAATAAACAGTTAAGAATTGTTTTTTACTGTTGTATTTGATGGAAAACGTGTTTTAAAGACGATTTTTCGATTTATCATTTTGAATGATAAATTTTAGTTGAATGTGGTGATGAGTGTTGTGATGGATGTTGTGTTGAATGTTGTGCCCAGTGTGGTGCCAATTTCACGGTAGTACTTTCAATGTCAATGAATCGATACAAATGTAAATAATTCTTCTATTTACTTACAATGCCCAAAAACGCTCACCAGATTGCGTTTGATTGTTGGTAGGGACTAAAAACGAACAAAGTTGCGAATTTGGCTTTCAAACGTGTTCGATGTTATGTATTGTCGTAAGTCATATATAGACTAACAGGAATTCCGTAGCAATATTTTTACATCAGCATCCAGATTTCGTAAAGGTCATAATGGTCACAAGACATCTTAGTCATATGACTGTCACATGTTTGTTATTATTATATTATTATCACTATGACTGTCAAATATTAGTGTTATCACCACAGCGCATGCTCGCCAGTAAAATAAACGAGGAGTGTATTGTTGTTCAATTATGTGTTCAATCATCAAAATTTGACAAATTCAAATTCAAATAACTTTACAGATATAAATAAAGAAAACATGAAAATCAGGTCTTTATACAAACGAAGGAAGTAAACAAAACGAACAAAAGCTTTATTTATTTCAACTTTGATGCTACGTTAGTCAACAAACTCCATAATATTTTCCCTTTTTTTAATGCGGACCTTTGATACGAAAGCGTTGGAAAAACAATAAAAATAAACCAACTCTATCATATATTTTTAATTAACTGTTAAACGTCAAAAGCAATCTAGTAGCATTTCCTGTGCACAATCGAAGGTCCAGATTCGTCGTATTCTTGTTTCGAGATCCACATCTGTTGGAAGGTGGAAAGAGAGGACAAGATGGAGCCACCAATCCAGACAGAGTATTTTCTTTCAGGTGGAGCAATAACCTTGATTTTCATGGTGGGAGGGGAAAGAGCAGTGATTTCCTTTGCATTCTGTCAGCAATAGCAGGATACATGGTGGACCCACCAGAGAGGAAAATGTTAGCGTAGAGATCCTTACGAATATCAACATCGCACTTCATAATGGAATTGTAGCATGTTTCGTGGATACCTGCAGACTCCATACCAAAAAAAGAAGGTTGGAAGAGTGCTTTTTAGTCGTAAATATCGTCAATTTTGCCACCTTTCCAGATGGCGGCTTGCCTCACTCGTTCGTTCATTTGCTGCGGATATAGGCAAGGTACGTATTGTTAGCGTTAGGATTAGGATTTGGATTAGGGATTGGGTATATAGAGGAATATATTCATAGTTGCTGATACAGGCCAGATATGGTTAGCGCTAGGCTTTGGATTTGGATTAGGGATTGGGTGTATACAGGGTTGTATTAATAGCTGTAGATATAGGCCAGTTATGGTTGGAGTAAGTGTTAGGCTTAGAGTTAGGGTTAAGGTTAGGATATAAGGTATAAAGTAATTTTGTACACTTTACCTTAATCATGAAATTTTTTAGACCTATCTTCATAAGATGTGGCTTCCTCCCCTAGCGCATACTTTAATTCTTTTTTGCTACTCGGCATTCGTGCATCATTCAATTTGGTTATAAGACATTGTTATAAGACCTTGCAATTAATTTTGTGGTATTTTCAATGTAAATTAAAATGAAACAAATATGTTTATGCTTAGATTATGTACTTATTTATTGAACTTACGTTTTAAAATGACAATTTACTAACGGCCAACTTCCAAAAATTTTACTTCTCATTTTATTCCCCAGATCAGATGTTGAGATTGTATTTCAGATTTACATTATCAATGGCATTTTATCCCACGCATGTTGAGTGGCTAAAAATTTCATAAGATGTGGCTTCCTTCCCTAGCGCATACTTTAATTCTTTTTTGCTACTCGGCATTCGTGCATCATTCAATTTGGTTAGTGTCATAAGACCTTGCAATTCATTTTGTGGTATTTTTATTGTAAATTAAAATGAAACGAATATGTTTATGCTTAGATTATGTACTTATTTATCGAAATTACGTTTTAAATTGACAATTTTTTAACGGCTAACTTGCAAAAGATTTTGCTTCTCATTTTATTTTCAGATCAGATGTTGAGATTGAATTTTAGATTTATATTATCAATGGCGTTTTATCCCACGCATGATGAGTGGCTAAATATTTTAATTTTTTCGGTAGTATGGCTAGATTTGCAAATTATGTTTGGCTGAATGATTATCTTACAACAACAGTGTTTCCCACTGTTGTTCTATGCTCATCTTTCTTCCCTATCTCATCCCTCTATGCTCATTTTCTTCCCTATCTCATTTTTCTATGCCATCTTTTCTTCCCCATCTCATCCCTCCATGCTCGTCTTCTTTCCTATTTCCTTCCTCCTATGCTCATCTCTTTATCTCATCCCTCTATGATTTTTCCTTATCTCATTCCTATGACGTGCTCTATCTTTCTTCGCTCTGATTCATTTTGTTTCCTCATTCGACCTAGCCGAGTGCCTCTTGATCGCGATTTCTGAAAGCGACGTGCCTGATTCTTGATCCGATGATTCTGACGATCCGATGAGCCGACGCGCCTTGATCTCTCGAGCCGACGCGCCTTGTTCGATCCTTCCGAGCGACGTCTTCCGGATCTGATCCGATCGAGCGATGCCTTTGATCTGAGATTTTTCGAGTTGATCGCGCTCTGATTCGATCGCGTCGACGCGCCTGATCTGATCCTGATGCCTGACGCAAAGCCTGAGTCGACGCGCCTGATCCTCGACGCGCCTGATCTGATCCATGCGTGCTCGATCGATCTTTTCGAGCGACGCGCTCTGATCTTTGATCCTGATCTTCGAGCTGATCTCGATCCGATCGAGCGACAAAACTCGATCTGATCCGATCGATGACGGCGTGCCTGATTTTGAGAATGCGCTTTCCTGATCTTATCGCCTTTGATCTGAGCTGATTGTCGCGCCTGATTCGATCCTCGAGCGCCTGGATCCCATCTTTCTGATGTCGCGCCTTGATCTGATCCTGATCGAGTTGATCGGATCTTTGATCGATTGATCGATTTGTCTGACGCCCTGATTTCGCCTTTGTGATTTGATCTGACGTGCCGATCTGATCCTGAGCCGACTTGCGATCTGATCTGATCGAGACTTTGAGCGCTCGATCTGATTTTGAAATCGATCTCGATTCGACGCGCCCCTCTTTTCTGAAATATCTCGCCTCGACGCGCCTGAGATCTGACGCGCCTGATTCCTGATGACGCGCCCTGACCCGATCTCTGATGCGCTTCGATCTGATTCGAGAGCCGACGTGCGCCCGATCTGATCCTTTTTTCGCCTTGATTCGCGAGAGAGCGCGCCTTTGATCTTTGATCCTGAGCCGACGCTCTGATCGATTCTTCTTTCGCTGATGCTCTCCCTTTATCCCTCTATGCTTTATCTTCTATCTCGATCCTTTCTAGCTGTTCTTTTCTTGCATATACTCACTTTTTCCTGATAAGCTTACCCCTTGACCTTTTTCTCTTTCTAAATCTTTTCTTTTACCTCTGCCAAGACCTTTTTCTAACATCTGATCAAATTTCCTTTAGGATAATGGAAAGACAGATGGTTTTGTGTAGATGGTCGTCGAGTTATGTACTTGGAGCAAGCAACGGTAATTATATCCTAATGTCTGTGTCATAAGACAGGAAATTGATGATATAAAAGATTCACTTCAATTCGTATTGTTGTGACGCTACTTTGTGCTCAAATTTAATAATCTTTCTGTGCACATATTTTTATAAAATCAAGACGTACACAACCCACTGTATTTAAATAGTTTGTAATATATTTAATAATCAGCGGCGTGGGTCTTGTATGATTGTGATCACGTGGTTAATGACGACTTGTTGTCATTTTAAATTTTGTTACTTACCTTTTGATGCGTTGCTGGTTTCTAGGACGCGTTCCCGAAAGGCAAATTTGTATTAGGCACGAAAGGCTATGACGTCACCTCGGGTTTTAACGAATACGAGGCCCCCGCTCGGCTACGGCTTTTCAATTCACACACCAGATCAAGTTTACGAATTCAGTGTTGGCACGGAGGACGAAAGGGACGAGTGGGTTAAAGATTTGAAGAAAATAGTATCAACGTCAATGACGGAAGAAGATAGAAAAGGTTTGTAAGAATATCTTTCACTTGTGAATTTCAGACATGCTTAATCAGATTGTAATTTGTTAAAAGCCTACTAAGTTAATGTAAATTGTACCATCACCATCTTGACATGGAAAACTGCATATTGATTTTCTTGACCCTATTACGTCATTAACAATAACAAAGACATTGGTGTAGTCCGTGTGGCATATTTATTTGCATGCCGTGAATGGTCAATTAACGCCTCGGGCGTTTAATAAATTCTAACAGTTGTAGTGAGGAGATAATTTCAAGCAAGTTAAAGGTGAAACTCCCGCGTGTTTCACGATAAGTTCACGCGTTATTCTCATTATATTCACACTTATTTCATGATAACTGACTAAATATATATCGAGGCAGTTATTGCTTGAGGTTTTGCCAACTGGACAATCGCATAACCGTGTTTTAATAATCTCTTTCCAGCAATTACGTTGAGCGAAGATTTAGAAAGAAAAAAATCTCAACAAAGTTCGTTATCCAGAATAAGTCAAAAATTTTCATAACATATAAATTATATTAATCTTTATATTAATTTTATATATATATATTGTGCATACAGTAGCGACAATAGTTCATGTTGCAAAATCTATTAAATTATTGTATTGTCGTATAGGAAATGAGCCGTGTGAACAAATTTTATATTTATAACCGCAGAAATTTATTCACTTTTCATTGATAAAGCATACAATCGTTGATTTGTAAACATTTTCGCTCATGTAACAAGGCATGTTAATGTTTTATAAAATATTTTATGAAATATAACAGTTTTACAATTGAAGAATCGCAGTGTGTTTTTGAATGCCACCTAGTTCGCTCTGGAATATGTCACGTGAGAGCCTGGCATGGTTCTTGACATTATTTGATAACGTCATACTCAATGATTTAGAACCCATTCCCAAGATGTGAACGTGACATCCTGAGACAAGGACGCCATCTTGAATGGTGGCAAAAAAAACCAACTCTCAATCAAAATAAGCTGAAATTTTAAAAAATTTTAAAAACCAAACCTATACTATCAATTCTGCAACTGCGTTTCAATGCAAAAAATGCATATTTTACTCGTAAATATCGTCAATTTTGCCACCTTTCAAGATGGCGGCTTGCCAAACTCGTAACTATAAATTTCGGCGGAGTCAGGTATCTAGTAGACTGGGTTCTAGGTCATGGCATCGTGCTTACTTCATTCGGGTAGTTCTTTTTGGTGTATGCAACATTTAGTGGCGTACACAAGGCGCGATAGAAAAATTTAAATCGACCAAACAATCATTAACACGATAAAAAAGATTTAGTTATAATTCAAAATAAATGGTCACACTGCCCATGTACGACAATATTAATCGACCATCTAATCGTCGTAGCCTCCCAGTGAGAGAGCAAAATTTAAAAATATCTCATCCAGTGTGGTTTGCTTTATAGAATAATTACCGATAACAGAACGGCTGTGCGCATCTTCTAAGATCGCAAACAGGGAAGACCAAGCGCATTTTGAATTGCCCATGTGGTAATTCAACAAGCCATTGTGCTCGTCTCGAAGTACACTACTGGGAACGTCTCTGCCACGAATTCTTTTACCAAGGTCGAGTCATTACTAGGCGTGTCACTTGGAGGGTTTACCAACAAAGTGAATCCTTGAAAGAATTTGTTCTTCAGGTGTTGCGGGCTACCGAGAAAGCGCAATTTGCCATTTTCCATGATTGCCAACCGAGTACACAACGCCTCGCATTCTTCCATACTATGTGACGTAATCATCAGGCATCGACCTAAGGAAGAGAGGAGGGAACAAATGATTACCAATCACAAGGCATCGACCTAAGGGGAGAGAGGAGGAACAAAATACCAATCAGAAGGCATCGACCTAGGGGAGAGGGAGGGACAAAATGGTTACCAATCATCAGGCATCGACCTGTGAGGGTGGGTACAAAATGATTACCAATCATCAGGCATCGACCAGAGGGAAAGATTATTATTTTAATAATAACCAAATGGCGCTCATATTAGGCGGGTATGAACTGCATGTAATTGCATTCTTCAACACATCTTCCCCGGAAGGAAACCCGCTTCATCACCAGTTTCATACCTTCGGCTCTGACTCTACATAAAGTGTTCCACAACAGTCGTCTTGGAACAGGATCCATTCCAGTTGTTGGTCGTCGAGAAAACTATAAGTGAATCGCCAATCAAAGCTATTGCTACTTAGTTTCGTTTGTTTCCACCACTGTAAAAAGAAAAGGTAATCTTTGTATTCGTGATCTAATGAGCCTGGGATTGCTATAAAAAGATGGTAGATTTTTGACGCGTCAATTGCATAATTTCCACGTTAAATCACTCCTGATGAAGACACTAAACTGGAGAATGTATGGATTAAAGTTTTAACATCAGATCACTCCTGCTGAAGACACTAAACTGGAAAATGTAAGGATTAAAGTTTCAACATCAGATCACTCCAGATAAAGACACTAAATTGGAGTATGTAAGGATTAAAGTTTCAACATCAGATCAGTTTTGATAAAGACACTAGACTGGAGTATATAACGACTACAGTTTCAACATCAGATCAATCCTGATGAAGAGATTAGACTGGATTATATAAGAACTAAAGTTTCAACATCAGATCACTACTGATGAAGATATTAGACTGGAGTATATAAGAACTGAAGTTTCAACATCAGATCACTCCAGATAAAGACACAAGACTGGAGTAAGAACGCAAGTTTCAACATCAGATCACTCCAGATAAAGACACAAGACTGGAGTATATAGGACTAAAGTTGCACAGCAGATCACTCTTCATGAAGAAACTACACAGGAGTATATAAATACTCAGGTTTCAACGTCAAATAAACCAAAATGAATATATAAATAGCAAAAGCTAGGTGAGCATTTATAGTACAGCATTCTATTTGAAAGTAGACGACGTTTCTTCTATTATACCTGTATGTTTTAGTTAACATATCTGCGTGTTCTGTTAGCAACACTGATCTCATTAAATCTTCGATCAATGGATTGATCTCATGACTGGGGACTCCACGAAGTGCAGCATACATTTGCAACATCTCCCGTCCCGTCAATAAATCGATCAAAGCATCAAATTGTGGACAATAGCCTGTTCGTTTACGAACCTCGGTAAACAACATAATTTACACTTAAAATTATAATTTTCATTTACAAAATAACATGTGCAATGCGTGCTCTGATTGGTCGATGCTCGCGTTTGCATCAGGTTATCTAAACATATTGACAAATGAAAATAACGCGTACAAAGGCAATTTTCCCGACTGAAGTATTTGTTGTTGACACAATGATTAAATGTAGGAAGGTTTCGGGGGGGAGGGTCATAATCATATATACATATATCAATACTCCCCCCCCCAATTATCGATGGTTGACCACATTCGGTACTAAATATACAGCACCAAGTTGCGCAGCCAAATGATAATGTTTGTTTTCTATGGTGTGGCTACAGAATAACGAGCATAAAGAAGGTCCTTTCTCTACGCAGTTAAAACTAGCCAACGTTTTTGTTTTACTTGTTTCAGGAGTAATTGATTTGCAACTAAGGCGTAACGGCAATTGAAATAAATTTCATGCTTGAAATTTGCAACGAACAGTAGCCGCAATTCGCATGTATTATTGTCTTCTCTTGCGTTCACAGGTCTTTGGAGATCAGTTACTGCTGAATTATGCAAAGTCTGAACGTCGGCTGATTTCAAAGACGAGCAGTTTTTTCGAAACATCCTGTTGAGCCACTACACTGTGGTAATAATACAGGTGGCACAAAAAATGTCAATGAAGTTATCTTCGATGTATTCGTCATACTGTGCTGACGCTGTGTTTCGCTAAAGAATGTGGTTTCGTTGGAGGGAGAAGAACCAAAATGGCGGACAATACAACGGACCATTGAAACGTTTATATTTTACAAGTAATATATTTGACCAATTACCTACAAAGTGGCCGACAACAAGCAACAACTGAAAAGGGAGTTCATTTATAAACAAGTAAGAAATTATTTGTTATGTATGTAAGGGTTAGTTGTTCGATCTTTGAACGTCAAATGTAATTCGCTTGGCTTTATTTATGGCTGGTTACAACTTGTTTTGCGTCGTAATATTATTGAACAATTACATGCGAAGCTCCATTTCGTAAATGAGGAACACTAAACATTGCAACAGAAATATTACAGACATTGCAACGTCAACACTAAATATTGCAAGAGAAATTTACCACTACAAATAACATCGGCGCAGTCAAAATATTTGCTTGTTCCTAACATGCATTTACGTCATGACAGCGCCAAGTTGGGTGATTTCAACGAAGATTTTCTTCATTTTACAATGTAGATGTCATGCAAAATGGCAAAATTGTGTTGTTGTTCACTCACAGGGGAGTAGTGACATACCACAGTATGTCTTTGTATGCACCATTTCAATGGTATACACAGTGTTGAAAAATCTGCAAACCTGTAATTTGCATAACAGCCTCCTCAATGGCTGCAGGCATACCATTGCGTGTTCAACTTTTTTCGTAATGACGTAAAGAGAACTAGTTCGAGACTAGTACGATGGCTAAACTAACGAAACTAACTACGAATATTATTTAATTTACATCCTAAATTCCAAGCATGAAATTCCTCTAAATGGCGTTTATGTCTCCTTAAGGATGAACTACTGCTTTAAAATCTTGATGTCGGATTAGCCTAGTAGCCTGGCGCTTTGAATTATTTGATGATTAATAAATTGAATGTCACGTGGCGTGTGCCGCCCGTTAGCGTGGCTGTTACAAGCGTTACAAGCCGCGATTTTCTCATTTTTTATTCGCGCATGTCGTCCCGCGCTGCACTTTTCGCACAAATGATTCAGAGCATCAAAGCGCCTCGGTACGAGGTTAGCATTTTTACAGTTCGCGGACAGATAATTGAAATAAATATATAACGGAACGTAAAGTACCCATTCAGTTGTAAATTTGGTTCAATGGTCTTTACATGATTCTTCAATTTGCTAAAAGGGAAAGGTCAAACAGATCATATACAGTAGTGTAACCAACTCGACTTTTTACTTCCGCTTTCCTAATATTTTTGTATTTACTGATAGTTAGAAAAAGAGATTTCTAAAGACATGAATAATGGTAATCTTTAAAAATTTACATAGCGGAAGTAAATCTACAGGCTGGCTACGCTACTGATCATATACAACAATAGAAACATACCCGACTTAAATTAGTCTGAATATCCCACGAGTCAAGGACGGCGGTACCCGAAGTTGGAATCACATCGCCTGTTAACATTTCAAACATTGTAGTTTTTCCCGCGCCATTGACTCCCAGTAGGAAGCATTCACCTAAAGGTATTAACAAGCTGATGTGATCCACTGCAGCAAATCTTCGACGACCTTTTTTGGGAAAAAATAAGGTGTTAATAAAGAAGAAGCTTTGTTCTTTTATATATTTTCACTGAATAGAAGTTTCAAAACGACAGTGAACTTTCTAAAAAAGTCTTCATTAAAATCTCGTTTCATTCTACAGACAATGAGAGTATTGTATATTTTCAAGACAATCTTGTTTCATTCTCCAGATTAAGAAAGTACAACGGTTGGAGAGAGTTTTTTTACAGACAACATGTCACTTCGAAGAGAACTCTGCCCATCTGAACAAACACATCAGTAATATACATTTAATAATTTACTGATGCAAATTACGTAAATATACATTATAATTTAAGTTCTCAATATACATGATTTCGGCTGATAAAAGAATGATATTTTTCAACACATCTACAAACACAGCAAGTCGAAATTCTCTACCTTGAACTTTAAATATTTTCGTAAGATCCTTCACTACAAGCACGTCTTCGTTCACTTCGTCGTTGAATACTCGTCGTTTTCCGCCATCACGTCCGGAGTCTTCCGTTTTATCGAACTCCTGACGAGTGTGGCAAGTTAAACAACTGCCAGTTCGATAAGAAGAAGAATACATTAAAATCATTATTTCATTATAATTAAATGCCTGTTTTCAGGATTGCTCTGAATTTATTCTGAAGGGATTGAATTTAATCCCCTGAAGATGTTAAATCACGAAACAGGGCTTGTCGGATGAAATTGTAGTTTTGTGTGTTTTCTTCTTATCAATATATATATATATATATATATATAAAATGGACAATTTTTGCTGTCGCTACTGGAGTTTCACGCCGTAGGGCGATCAGGCAACTGACAGATTATATATTATTTGCTGACTATATACATCGACTAAAAGGTGTTGTTACATGACGGCATGCACTAAACATATCGGAACGTTTATTTTAAAATGTTCTTTTTATGTCCTTTTCAGGATAAGTAGCCTTTCTTCAAGGCAAAGACGGTTCTTTGGTTTTGTTCGGTGGTGGAGTTGTTTGATGAAGTCCCATTTAATGTTGTAGTTACGTTGTTTTCTTTCAGTGTCCACGTATTTAGAAAGTTCTGTCTCGTTCCGGTATTTAATGTTCGTAATTGATTTAATGTGGTTTCGATATCGTGTCTTAAAAGCGCATGCAGTAACACCTATGTAAGTTTTGTTTCGTTGTTGTTAGTCGTTGTCACGTCGGCTTTGTAAATCACGCTGGTTTCAGGCAATTGCCATTTGTCGGGCATAGATGTTTTGTCTGCAGTTACATTTCTTTGTGGGTTGTTCTGTTCTGGTTGTGTCCCTAAGTCTTTTAAAATAGTCTTGTTGTGTCTGGTTATGAGTTTTTCATGTTTTCGCTGCAGCTGTAGCTTGCATTGTGTGTCGGTTGAATATCTGGAGAGTATAGTATTTGGTGGGAAATGTTTGTCGATAAGTTGTAGGAAGTCATGGGCGATGTGAGTTTTTACGTTTTTGCTGTATGGTGGGTTAAACCAAGTGACGTTACGTTTCTGTTGTACGTGGTGTTTACATTGATGTTTGATGGATTAAAGGTGAGTTGGGTGGTGAAGCGTTTGTTTAGAGCTTGGTTGTAAATTGCGCGGCATTTTCGAAGGTGTCTTTGCCAGATGAGTGTGTTAATTCGGTTGTTGATGGATGTGGTAGTTGGCGTAATATTGATGGTGGGTGGTTGGACGATCTGTGAAATGAGGCTCGTCGTTGGGTTTCTATATGGTTTGTAGGTGTCGTTGCTAAGGTCAAATGTTACGTCAAGGAAGTTTGTGTGTTCATGGTTTGTCATCGCTGTGATTTTAGTCCGCTCGTCAAATAGGTGTGAGAGGGTTTTTCTTCTTTGTCGCAAAGTCTTCCAGATTTCGTATTTATGACTGCAAGGCCATCGTCACGGTATAAGCCGACGTTGTTTCCGTACCGTTGCTGTAGTTGGTCGAGTAAGAATAGCCCTACAAGCTCGCAAACTTCCGCTCCATCATAGCTGCCTATGGTTACATCAAACGTGTTGGTGAAGTTGCGTTTGGACCATGATTTGTTTTGGTGGAAAAGAAGTGATTTTCTTTGCGTGTTTTATAATGGTGTGGTCTTTTCTGTGATTGGTGTGTATTGTTTTGCCCACTAGGCATTTGTCCAGCATTTGTCCAAAACAAATCATGGTCCAAACGCAACGCTACCAACACGTTTGATGTAACCATGGGCAGCTATGATGGAGCGGAAGTTTGCGAGCTTGTAGGGCTATTCTTACTCGACCAACTACAGCAACGGTACGGAAACAACGTCGGCTTATACCGTGACGATGGCCTTGCAGTCATAAATACGAAATCTGGAAGACTCTGCGACAAAGAAAGAAAACCCTCTCACACCTATTTGACGAGCTTGACTAAAAATCACAGCGATGACAAACCATGAACGCACAAACTTCCTTGACGTAACATTTGACCTTAGCAACGACACCTACAAACCATTTAGAAAACCCAACGACGAGCCCTCTACATTCACAGATCGTCCAACCACCCACCATCAGTATTACGCCAACTACCCACATCCATCAACAACCGAATTAACACACTCTCATCTGGCAAAGACACCTTCGAAAATGCCGCACCAATTTACAACCAAGCTCTTAAACAAAGCAACTTCACCACCCAACTCACCTTTTAATCCATCAAACATCAATGTAAACACCACGTACAACAGAAAACGTAACGTCACTTGGTTTAACCCACCATACAGCAAAACGTAAAACTCACATCGCCCATGACTTCCTACAACTTATCGACAAACATTTCCCACCAAATACTATACTCTCCAAGATATTCAACCGACACACAATACGCGTAAGCTACAGCTGCGGCGAAAACATGAAAACTTTCATAACCAGACACAACAAGACTATTTTAAAAGACTTAACCCAGACACAACCCAGAACAAGAACAACCCACCAAAGAAATGTAACTGCAGACAGAAACATCTATGCCCGACAAATGGCAATTGCCTGAAACCCAACGTGATTTACAAAGCCGACGTGACAACGACTGACAACAACGAAACAAAACTTACATAGGTGTTACTGCATGCGCTTTTAAGACACGATATCGAAACCACATTAAATCAATTACGAACATTAAATACCGGAACGAGACAGAACTTTCTAAATACACGTGGACACTGAAAGAAAACAAACACACAACATTAAATGGGACTTCATCAAACAACTTCACTCCCCGAACAAAAACCAAAGAACCTGCTGTCTTTGCCTTGAAGAAAGGCTACTTATCCTGAAAGGACGTAAAAAGAACATTTTAAATAAACGTTCCGATATGTTTAGTGCATGCCGTCATGTAACTTAACACCTTTAGTCGATGTTTATAGTCAGCAAATAATATATAATCTGTCAGTTGCCTGAAGATCGCCCTACGGCGTGAAACTCCGAGTAGCGACAGCAAACAATTGTCCATTTTATTTTAGTTCATTTTATCTTACGCTCTTCTAATATATCGAATATTGAGCGCTCTTTTATCCAGGAATATTATCCGTAATAATATATATATATATATATATATATATATATATATATATATATATATATATATATATATACAAAGTGTATAATATCGTATATATATATATATATATACAAAGTGTATAACAATGTATATATATATATATATATATATTTGAAAATTGGTAACCCAGGCATATTATTATAATAAGGATTTTCTGGATTTTTATTTTGAAATTTTTATTAAGCTTTCAACTCGGTGCTTCGAGCCTTCGTCAGAATGTAAGAATGGGTAGATAAAAAGCGCGCGCGGACGGACGCGGACGACGGACGCGGACGGCGGACGCAGACGACGGACGCGGAGGCGGACGCAGATGTAAGACGAACGTCTGTTTGTTGTGTGCGGGAATTGCAAATGATTTATTGGTGAGTTTGACAGTAATTTAAAAGAGCTTTATCTTTCAGGATATATTTTTGACCTCATTATTTAAAGCAATTAAACATGCATATTTCAATTTCAGTCAGTCATATAGAGTGTGACGCAATGAAACCTTATTGTATTTTTTTCGTGCTTTGGTTGGCATTTCATTCTATGTTTGCCCTACGTGGGTGAGCCTTGCTTTTCCAATTTTAAAAAAGTCAATCTTATATGACTCAAATCATACGATAAAAGAAAATAAGTATTAATTGAAACCATAAGTAGCAAAAGCTGCATGCACTTATGCAAAGAATGTCCTACAGGTAATTTCCTTTAAAATAAGATAAGAATATTTGTTGAGGTCCCACTTCTCTGCTGCTCCACATTTCTTTAACACAATTCGTTTTAACTTTAAGTCACTGAGGTAACTATGTGATAGAAATAATTACTCGCATCCTTAGATACGAACGGTAGTTATATTAAAAAACATGAGACAATCCTTCTTTTAGATGAATCACTAGCGTTATAGTTTCTCACGCATTGCAAAAAGAAAGATCAAGCAAAAAACAAAGAATTGTATATAGCTCTAGAAATATTAAAGGAAAACTAACCTAGCGACGATATTTCATTGCTATGACTGAAAGAATGCAGTGAAACAGAATTTTAAATTTGACTCTGTTATACGGAAATTACGACGGAAAATATCATAACGCTTTTGAATGCGTTTGGCTATTCATCAAAAGTTGTCATATAGCTACAGCAACATGACTATAAATGACGCACTGACTAACTTGCAACGGCTTCAAACCTCAGCTTTCAAAAGGACGTCAAGTTGAAAACAGCAATATACGTGCTGCTTGCCAAATGACAAGTTGACGGAAATCATTTCAGTGCAATAAATATGAACAGGCTCACCCAAGTAAGGCAAACATGAGTGAAATGCCATTGACAAAACACGAAAAAAATACAATGAGGTTTCATTGCGTTACACTCTATATGACTGACTGAAATTGAAATATGCATGTTTAATTGCTTTAAATAATGAGATCAAAAATATATCTTGAAAGATAGCTCGTTTAAATTACTGTCAAACTCCCTACAATAAATCATTTGCAATTCCCGACCACAACAAACAGACGTTCGTCTTACATCTGCGTCCGCCGTCCGCGTCCGTCGTCTGCGTCCGTCGTCCGCGCCCGCTTTTATCTACACCCTGTAAGAATATATTATTTACAAAGATTTTGTAGGCTGGAGCGTCTGATTGGTTGGTTAGTAGTTGAGTTGACATTATTGGATGGTATAAGATGCGTTGTCATGGTTTCTGGGTATAAATTGCGTTAATGAAATTCGAGTGTTTTATTTTAGTCGTTGTGTGATTAGTTTGTTGTTTTGGTTTTGTCTTTGTGTGAATAGATGATGGGGATGTCAATATGTCTGTTTACGTTGTTGTCCCTGTACCATGCCTCTTTGAATTCTCGTGCGTGTTTTATCTGTGCGCGTCCAAGAAGCTGTGTTCTTGTCCAGTCAAATGTGTGGTTGGTATCGTATGTATGTTCTGCTGGTAGTGATTTTGGTCGCATCGTTTGATGGCATTCTTGTGTTCAGTGAGTCTTGTTTCAATTTTCTTGATGTTTGTCCTATGTACTGTTTGGGGCAATCTTTACATGGTAT